CGACATATCATCCAGATGCTTCTGGCAAGCAGTGCCCTCCTTGGAGTTTCCGCTCCAAACTGCCGAATTAACCTGGCGCCAGTACGGCGATATGTCAACCAGGCTGCACGGATCTGCTGCGAAAAGCAGGTGGCGCTATCCGCTGACCTAGAATTAGCCAGCAAACCAGATGGTTTCAAATTGATCACATTCAAAAACTTGCGAGCGCCCGGGCCCACTATACGAAAGAATCCTTCTTCAAAATGATGCGCGGCTTGCGTCCACGGGCGTATATTCGCCAAATGTTCTTGCCACCAAGCACACCAACGCTACGTAGTTTCTTACTCCAGACATCCTTGATGACATCTTTTTTGCACCGCGTCGTGCCATTTCGGTTCCGAAGCGGAAGACTGCCCGCATAGCTGGAGACATAAAATTGTTCCCGTTGCAGATGCTGCAAAGCTTCTGCTCTCGTCAGCGGCCGCAACACATTTCTTTTTGCTTTGCCCCAGACTGAGAACCGAGGAAAAATCTCGTGCACAGGCCTGCAGGGTCGGGGCAGTTTCCTTCGCAAACTTCCCGGCACAAACCGGCCCGCACGCGCACCTTCTCCCGGCAAGAGACCCCCAGCAGTGTGAGCGGCTACCCCCCCCACCCCGCCAACCCCCCCCAACCCCACGGGTAACTGATCATGAAAGAGCAGTGCGTGTAAGTGCTCTACAGCAAGAAAGATGATGAGCTTGCTGTGCGTGTGCAGGCATAGGAACATGAACCTTATTAACTCACCCCACCTCACCGGTAACTGATCATGAAAGAGCTGTGCCTGTCTCTGCTCAACAGAAAGTAAGATGATGAGGTTGCTGTGCCTGTGTGTGCGTAGGACATGAAACGTTTTCACCCACCCCACCTCCACCCACCCCCCACCCCCCCACCCCACCCCCCCCCACCCCCGCACCCACCCCACCCACCCCTTGAAGGGTTTATCAGTGTTGATCATTCCGTCTGTATGGTACCCTGATGGCCCCCCCCCCCCAACCTAAAGGGTTGAATCCCCTTGAAGGGTTTCTCAGTGTTGATCATTTGCCGTGTAATGTTTGTTTATGATGGGGTTCCAGAAGTGACGCTTCAGTACCAATGGGGAAATGGAAAATCGACTCGCCCTCGACGCCGGAAAGTGCTTTTTGTGTTGGAAATGAATTGATTTTTGGTGTTGGGAGTGAGTCGGTGTTGGGAGTGAGTTGATTTTCGGTGTTGGAAGTGAGTTGTTAACCGAAATCAAACCTCCTCGCAACCACGTTTTTTGTTAAATTTGAATTTTAAAACAAATCGCAGCCACAGAAACAAATATCGTTTTTTCAACCCCATTGATTTCATTGATTGTTCTTCTATACAGAACGTATGTTTTACGTCTATACAAACGGTGTTCCGAGACTCATTTTATATAGCGCTTGCTTTGGTCGTATAATGTCGTATAACAAATGCTCTCGGAATTTTGGCTTGCACGGAAGAGGTATTTTATAAAGGCGTTACTTTCCTGGTATTCCGCAGGTGGCAGTTTGAAGGATTCATAAAGATGACGGGGGGGTCATTTCCTGGGGTGGCCACCTGCTTTTTGGATGATGGTTTGCGGACCATTTGATAGCAATTTTTCTTTTTAAAATGCTTCGTAAAGCCTTCTAGGGAACAATCACGGGGGTAGTTTTTTTCGTTGTTTTTTTTTGAAGATTTTGACGACGGTTCGGTAAAACCATGGAATGGTTTTGGGAATTTTGCGAGGATATTAAAGGAACATGGACAAAGTATGTAGAACCATGAAAAGGACAGGGATACAGCTGCTCTCCATTTCATTTCGTTTCAAACATATGATATTGGGCATATGCAACAAGCAGAAAAAAAATGTTCGACGGCTTCGCTGCAGGAAGGCCTACTGCATTTTTATTTTGGCAGCGGTCTTGCGCAGGGTTCTGTGTAAACACCTCGTTACAGAAGTTTTGTTCGAGGAACCGACGCAGATGTCTTCGCGGAGATCTTGCGTAGAGGTGTATGTCGCGTCGAATATTTTCATTGATGCGCTAAAATTATTGTGACGTTGTGTGGGGTCTCTTGCCAGGATGATCGGCCGCTTTCAATCGGCAGTGTTTGTCATGTCTGACTTGCCTCCTTTGTAGTCTTCAAATGCTATGCGTGCCGCCCGCGACGAGAAGAACGCGGCATGGTTGGAGGCAGGGGGCCATTGACAGAAAGAACCAAGTGTTTTGCTTGCTTGTTCGAGGACCCACCGTTGCACGGTTTCGAGCTCAAATCACCCAAGAGCTCAAAGGCGGGTTTCCCATCTGCTTCTCTGGGAGGTTCCAGGTGCTTTGGGAGATTCTGGCTGGCTGTGGACAGGCGTTATATTTTGATGGGCAGTCCCAGACGGATGACTACATCCCATGGCGCACATGTGCCGTGGGATCGCGGGCTGGCTTTGATTGAACTTACGCCCTTTTGAATCCATTATATACGATGTTTTGCTTGGTCAAAGTCAGAGTCATCGAGATTATGGGCCCGCGCGTGCAAAGTCTGAACCACCTTTGGCAGGGATGATGTCCTGCAAGAAAGGTAAACGCTTCTTTACGAAGTGGGTTCCTCGGCCAAAAGTTTGAAAGAAACCAACATGTGCCAGTCAAACCTTTGCATGTTTGCCCCAAGCAACCTCAAACCCGCAAGCGGATAACTTTCGCTGACTTGTCAACCCAAATTCGTCATGTTAACCCCGACTCGTAGGGGCCCGGGACGCGGGAGAGGGGGGATATCGCTTGTTTCCTCGTGGTTCCCACGTGGGCACTTTATTCATGGGAGCCAGAGTTGGGACCTGCGGTGGATTTTGGGGACGTTCGGTTTTTCGAGCAAAATTAATAAACAGACACGCGTTGCTGACCTCAAGGGGGCCCCAAGAGTGCAAAGAAGTGTTTTTGTGCCAGCAAATCACTAAGCGCCTTGCTGGCAAATTGTTTTTTGGTTGCGAAACCATGTCGAAAAACATGGAGGCATGCCCATTGGTGCTTGCAGGCGACGAAACCTTTGTCCAGATCATTGAAGACAATGGTTTGTTTGTAGAGCAGTTTAGCCACGGTAAGCAAACCTGCAATGTTTGGGCGTCCATAGCCTGCGGTGTATTGTTAAGCTATTGTGCCAGCCTTTGCAGGTGTGGGGCCGAGAAAATCGAAAGAAAAAAAACGAACCTGCTCAATGCAGGCCGGACACACCTGGACTGGCTGCAGCACTTGATCTCCGCAAACAGAAAATTTTGTTTTCAACTCCAGGCTCAATGGACTGCGCGGGCGTGGCTAGCAGCTAACTTACCTACATATGGATATGATATGGTATGATATGATATGATATGGTATGGTATATGATTTAATATGATATGATGGGATGTGATGTGATGTGATATGATATGATTTGATATGATGACCGCCATTGATGGAAAATATTCAATTCCATTTGTTTTGATTTGGTGGTTTTTGACTTGGTTTCTGTACAACAAATTTCCACCACCACTACCACAGAATGAATGCTTTTACCGGGCACTGACATTGATATTTTTTTAGGACCAGCGGTTTAATAGCAAATTTCGTGATAATTCGCTGATTGTCAAATAGTTCGCTTTGTCTATCTCTCTCTCTCTCTCTCTCGCTCTCTGTGTCTTTCTCTTTCTCTCTGTTTCTCTATTATTCTCTCTCGCTCTCGCTGGCGCTCTCTGTCTGTCTCTCTCTCTCTCTCTCTTATTCTCTTTCTCTCTTATTCTCTTTCTCTTTTTTTTCCCCGTTTTCCCTCTGATTCTCTCTTTCTCTGTCAGTTATTCTCCTCTCTCTCTCTCTCTCTCTCTTATTCTCTTTCTCTCTTATTCTCTTTCTCTTTTTTTTTCCCCGTTTTCCCTCTGATTCTCTCTTTCTCTGTCAGTTATTCTCCTCTCTCTCTCTCTCTCTGTGTCTTTCTCATGGAGACAGCAGCTGCAACGAAGAGTTGCCAGGTCAAGCTTATATGGGTGAAGAAATATCATCCCGTGTGCATAAGTCCACAATGTGAGGGGGACAAGCAGGGTAGACGGCAATTCAACTACGAGCCTTTGGACGCAACTTCAAAAGCACAAGACCGCGTGTTTGAGCAGGTGCCAAAGGACAAGAAGTTCATGATAGCGGTACTGTTGGGCATTTTTTGTAGCATCACCACTGCAGAGATCGTCGAGCAACAGTTGGACGAAGTATTATATGTCCGCACGTTAAAGCAGGCAGTGGAGGTGGTGGCAAACTATGCTAGGCGCGTAATTGTTTTGCTTCCATGTGCTGGGGTGTAACCATGGAAAGAGCGACCCAAGAAAGATGCGTGAAAATTGTTACGACTTTGCACAGCTTGCTACCCCTCCAGCCACCCATGCTTGGCACATTTTATCTACGTGAATGGAAAGCGTGAATAGCCTTGTCATATGTGGATAATCAACTCAGTGCAAAAACAAACACAAATATACAACAAAACCGCGACCCACTATTAAGGGTATATTATATGACCTTACTAGGTGTGCCACACTCCAAAGGCCATCTGGCCTGAGTGCCACCAAGGTCCAGCTCGTTGCATATCTGATGTTGTTTCCTGAGTGAGAGCGGGTGAAAACACATGCAATCTTCGACAAGGCAAATTAACTGGCCAGGACTTGAAACTACCTGATAAGGTAAGCAACGTGCTTAAATCAATTGCCAAGGGAATAAATGGTAACCATTTGGGGGGGTGGGGCAATTGAGTGAATCGGGTTTGCTTGAAACAGGGCATCTTGAGCCCCAAATGACAACCAACCCGAAATCAAACTAAACTCATGCCACCACAGCTGTTCCAGTCTACAATTTTCACTACGCAAATGGTTTGCTTCACGAAAATTGTTACGACTTTGCACAGCTTGCTACCCCTCCAGCCACCCATGCTTGGCACATTTTATCTACGTGAATGGAAAGCGTGAATAGCCTTGTCTTATGTGGATAATCAACTCAGTGCAAAAACAAACACAAATATACAACAAAACCGCAACCCACTATTAAGGGTATATTATATGACCTTACTAGGTGTGCCACACTCCAAAGGCCATCTGGCCTGAGTGCCACCAAGGTCCAGCTCGTTGCATATCTGATGTTGTTTCCTGAGTGAGAGCGGGTGAAAACACATGCAATCTTCGACAAGGCAAATTAACTGCCAACTTATTCACGCAATTCCTTTTCACACTTAATTTCAATTAATCAGCGCCGAAGACCCACTGTGGAATCTTTGGATGGCACTTTGCACAAATGGTGAAATCAGAGGGCAAGTCGTTTCTCTCCAAGACTGCCCGTGCGTCTCTGCCCGATGTGATCCATTTCCATCCGCATGAAGTGGTCCAATCCTTCGGACTATTTCGAAAGCAATTTCCAGAAGTCGAATGAAGCTTGCTGGTGTGGATGTTGTACACCACTTCAGGTCTTGACCAGCGGTCGAATGCTTCATAGACATGTTCACGCGTCAGTGCGATAGGAGTTCCCACTGTGCCTTCATTCAGTCTAGCATTGACCTTCTCCATTGACTCCTTTAAGTCGTTGCAATCCTTCAATGCCGAATTGATCAAACTTCTCAAATCCAAGTGATCCTGTAGGCGAGTAGAGATAGCCGGTGATTCCTCTGCAGCTTCTTCAACGTAGCTCAAAATAGCACTTGAACTGTGCCTAGCCATAAATTGGATGAGGTCAATGGAAATTCCCGACCGAGCCAGCATCTTGGCTCCTGTGCGCCGGAAAGAATGACCAGTGACTCTTTCCACACAAATTCGATGCTTCAAAGGAGGACGGTCATCCACCAACGACTGAGCATCGCCTTTCAGCGCTTCGATGACTGCCTCCTTCTTGATGGTTTCCCACGGTGACCCAATAGAGGCAACCAAGGGGATCTCCTCCGCTTTCGGCTCTGTCTGTTGCACACCAGTTCGGATGACCTGGTTTCTCACCAGCGACATCACTGCACAGAAAGGACACTTGAAGCATCTGTGAGAATTACAAATGCAAGACAGCGTTCTCCTACAGCCACGACCAACCGGATCTGCTTTGGAAACCGGGAGATGAAGGGAAACCTGCTTCTTTCTAATGTCAATCAGGATATCGGTTTGGCTGAGCCTCAACCCTGCCAATTCCGTCTCACGAAGAAGGAAAGAAATTGCCACCACCCAAACTTCATGTCTGAGCTCAGGCCAGTTGGCCCTTCCTTCAACGAACTTTCCCTGAGTCCAAATATCCTGAAGTAATTCTTCCGGGATTTCTTCGGCCTTAACTGGCGGACCAAGACCTCTTGTACTTGCTCTCTTTGGGTCCTTGACACACAAATCAAGTTCAGCAGTCCATGTATGTCCGAGTCTGATGTGAAATTGTCTCGCTTCGCAGACATAGGAATAGACAGATCTAAACCCCGACGCCCTGAGTACTGCAAAAACTTTGACAATCTTTTCCGTGGACAAAGGAAACGCCTCCAAGCCAAGTTGATTGGAGATCAAACACCAAGTATTTCTCAACGCGTTCTTGGTGGCAGTGGTCTGAGGAGCATACATTGCGTCATTGAAAACTTCCAATGCCCTATTGGCATCCCTCTCATTTCCAGCAATGCGCAAAGCTTGTGACACTGACCCTTTTGATGCCCTACGTGGATCAGGCAACAAGGGGCCCTTTGGCCTGTGCCTCCTGGCAGCCTCGATCACCACTCCAGCTTCGGCATGCTCGACAGCAAAGCTACCCCCAGCTAAACGGCTTGAGCTAGAATGAGCACCTACCATGTCAACCACTCTGAGAACTTGAGATGCGTTCACAGGATCGGCCTTCTCAGCAAATTTGGGTCCTAAAGAACTAGTTACTGGCACAAATATCCAGTCATTACTGAATGCCGGAGCCTCATTGTTGCCAGCGCTGAAACCCGTACCAGTTGCCAAAGAAGGGACATGTGAAGACAAAGCCGGTGTTTCAACTGAGGATGGTGTTCCAAGAGCACTGTTGCTCACACCATTCAACCCCAGCTCCTCACGAGCTCTCTTCACTCCCCTAGGCAAAAGCAAGGCAGAATTTATCAGCACATCTCTAGGCGTGCCAACTCGTGACCCATTGCGAGACCCACTTGAACCATGACGTGGCATGTTCGCACGCTGAAACACTGCGGATCAATTTTCACGCATGTGGCCAAGTCCTGAAAAGAGTTGCAACATCTGGGACTACGATTTCACGTGCACTTTTCAAACACTCAGGCAAAGGAATGCCTTCACAAAATCTGGAAAGAGCATCAACAACCGTGTTGTGAATTCCCCTAATGTGCTTTCCCCGCAGAGGTTCCCAGCCAGCGCATTCAATCCGAATTGCAATTTCGGCTGCCAATGAACTCATAAGTGGACTAGAAGCATGAAACTCGAGCGCTGCTCTCAAAGCAGCCGTGTTATCAGATTGTATAAACATTCTGACATGAGTTCTTTTCAAGAACTTCGAAAAAATGCAAATGGCAATGAAAATGGCAAGAAGCTCCCACTCAGTTTGAAACGCAGGATCACCTACTGTTGCACCTCCCCCCAAAGTTGTACAAAGAGATTCATCAACAGGGAGTTTGAAATAAGCAACAGGTTTTCCCCCTATCTCCAGATATCCACCAAGACCACTAGGACATGCATCAGTGATAACACTAACTAATGGAACATCATGTTTAAATCTATAAACCTTTGACAGCGATACCACCGGTGAACCATCAAGAAAGGTACCCTTAGCTTCCAACAAACGATGCAGCCACAACACTGCGTGGTCTATCTGCCGTTTGAAAGCCAACCCTTTCCTCACCCTAGTGGTATCCCGCTTCGGCCCAGCAGCTGATTGAAGCTTTGCTGCATGAAGAGGCGACCAAAGCATTGCCGTCCAAGGCCTTGCAAGCGGGATGATGTTCGAGATCCAAGCCATGACCCCTGTGGTGGATTCTAAAAGTGAAATGGGGACTACGCCTTTACACTCACAAACCTCTCTAAGGGCATCAATGACCTTCTGAGTTTTATCTTCAGGCAATGATACTCTCAAACGCGGTGACGGTTCCCTTCAAGCAGCATACGAACCCCTATCCAAGAGATGTCTATCCCTCGAGAGGCCTTATGCCAAGCCATGTTGAAACCCAAAACCGACCAAAGGAGAGAAACCCTAAAGAAAACCCTGGTTCTTTCAACCCTGGAGGTGTGACATGCGATTAAAATGGGATCATCTACGTAACACTGGATGCGACAATCGTAACCTGTACAACATGCTTGTGCGAGTCTCATGGCAGAGCTGGCAAGCCTACCCCAAAGTAATGGTCCACATGCAAGTCCAAAACACACGCAACGCATCACGTAGTAACGGCTGTCCAAGCCTTTGCAAACGACCCACTTTCTCTCCGAATCATGAAGCTTTAAAGTGTAGAAGGCATCCGAGAAATCACAAACAAAGAACTCCAACTGGTCATCCGGATTTGACGTTTTGAGGAGTTCATCACAAGATTTAGCAACATCCGGAATACGTGGGAGAACTACCCTTTCCAAAAGTGTCATGGTCCCATTTATCCCACTGCGTCTCATATCCACCACAAGTCTGACCTTTTCCTTTCCCTCCTTGTTCTTGATGATGCATGCTAACTGCGTCAATTTGGCATCTGTACCGACCATGGAAACGACTTGCTCCCACGTGTCGACACAGTCAGCTCTTCCATCAGTAACCAAACGATCCAGCTCTGATTGCGCCTTCTGACCAGCCTCATAAAAGCTTCTGTAGTTAAGTGCCTTTCCCGACCAGTCTTCCAACAATTGACCAATTGTCTGAGACGCCTTGATTGCAGCTGAAACATCGTCTGTAGCAGGGAAAATGTTTGTGTTCTCAATGGGCTGAGAAATCCCCAGTGGAACACCATGCCTGAGCCATCCAGGCAAAACCTTTGCATCCTTGTCCTCGGCCTCTTGCAGCAAACTTTCCAACAGGTCAGTTTGATAGTCAGCTACAGAAACAAAGGTGCAAGAAACTTTGAATTCGGCAGCCATCTCGCGACGACATCTGTAAACCAGTTCTGCGTCCATGCCAACGGCCTTCTCAAAGGAAAGCAAGTCTTGAACTGAGTAGCACCGATCTAGAACTGTTCTAATTCTTTCCCCTACCCTTCTCAACTTCAGGGAACGTGCAACTGCCCTGCGAGGGTCACGGAGGCCACCTATGGCCTGAAGGTTTTCTTCCTCTCGAACGGCCCTTTTGCTTAGCCGCTGTCTTGAAGACGAAGCATCCAAGGGTTCCATTTGAGTGACTGCCTTGTCCAGTCGTGATCCAACCATGTCCAGTCTTACCATCTGAAACGGGCTCACCTTGACCAGAATTCTGCAAGCCATGAATTGGTAGCCCTCCTTGGATGTTAACCATCCCTTCAAAGCCAAAGCCCAAGCGTGACATAGTCCTTGAGGATACTCTGCAGCTTTGGAAGTTTTCCAAACCCACGTGTTGGTGATGGGATCCCATGTCTTGCCCTGAAGGCCACCTTCCATATGAGCATGAGGTCTGACTTGATGACATCGAGTGTTGATACTTGTCATCCATGCAGCGTTTCCCAAAATTCCAGTGGGTTTCTGAGTGCGAGCACCAAAGGGGCATTGATCCAATCCCGAAAAGATAACTCCAACGACTCTCTTCAATCGCTGGATGAAAGAAACCAACCAAGCATAGGAGTTCTCCGGGTTTTCCATCGAAAATGTTGAACCTTTGTCCAAAAGCAAGAAAGCTAAAATGATGGCGCTTTCCAAAATCAAATTTCCTTCCACTGCAGGCGGTGAACCCCATCCATCCGGCTTCTCCGAACTGCGAATGACAGGAACATCGCCATGTTGATCTGATCTTCGTGCCGTGGAAAAACTTCGACATGGAAATGCCAAATGAGCATGATCTGCTTTCGAAACAAGTTCCTTCGCCTGTGCAAAGCCATCGTCCGTAAGGATATCCCAACCCCCATGTTGATCTAAAGGTTCCAAAACATGAACCAATCCTCCACAAACCTCTGCAATCTCTCTGCTCAAACCGCCAGAACCTGCAAACAGCTCTACAAACACAAAGGGGCTCGGAGACACTGCATAGCCATCCTCCTTTACCTGAGCAGCATGTTGGATTTGATGAAACGATGCAAGAACAGAGGGCGTGCAAGTGTTCAGTGAGCTTCCAGAGGATGAGTCTGACTCCTGCGGATCTGAGCAGTTTCGCTTTCCAGAGCCCTTTGCAAATTTCACGCTCTTCTTGATTGGGCAGGCAGCATTGCAGTGATTTCCCAAACAGTATTGACAAACATGCGCGCGGTGATCTGCACATGGCTCTGGGCATGTGCCAGGCTTGCCCTTGGCGTTCTTGAAACAAATCTCCACCCCATCTGCCGTGGTCACAAAAAGGTTTCCCCACTTGCGAGGATGCTCGGTATCCTTCTTCTTGGTTTTGGCAGCAGGCGGCGATTCTGACGTTTCCCCCAAAGCTCTCTTCGGACCTTTGCCTTTCTTCGGGCTCTTCGGCTTCGGTGACTTTCCCAACTCCGGCTTCATCCCTTTCACATTGTCCAGGGCAGCTTGTGCTTCTTCTGGAATGTGGACACGCTCTGCCTTCTCGCTGGTCATGTGTCGGCCTCTTCTGGCAATGAAAATGGTAGATGGTTTCACCACTTGCTCGTCCCAGAACTCTGAATTTCTGGCGGCATAAGTGAAGACACCTATCCATGGTTGATTCGGGTCGAAGTCGAGGTTCATGGGAAGCCGGCCCTCTAATGCAGCCTTTGTCAATTGTCTTCTGTAACGTTCCAGCATTTCCGACCGACACTTGTCTTCGGCACGCATGATCAAATGCCAAGTCTCTGGAAAATCTGCAGCAAGCTTCACAATGCGCTCGAAGTACTCCTCCAACGATGCCGACGTCACAACCTTCTTTGGAGCCAACCCTGATGCAGTCGAAGGATAGCGAAGCATGAACAAAATGCTCCTGTACACTTTCCAACAACTTTTCCAGGCTTCCAGAGATGGTGGTCCCGGAACATCGAGTGCTCGAAACGAGCCATCTTGTTGAAAGACCCAGCTTCGAGTCTTGAGTTGCCGCTGCATGGTCTTGCCAAAAGGGGTCAAAATGCTGAAGTCTGCATAGGGTGCCTCTTGCCTGGTTATGGTTCTGTCCCTCATGGCAGCAACCTGCTCGACAGTTGGATCGCAGTCGTGAGGTGGTTCTGCCCCTGTCTCCTCGATGTGGAACTGATAGGCCTGATTCAGCTCTTGACGAGTCATGGCAACAATCTCCGTGTCGTCCATTTGGTCTAGGACATTTGAAGCCTTCACCTTCTTGCCCGAGCTTGCTGAACTTGAAGGTGCAGTTACCACTGGACTTGGCTCTGCCAGCGGATCTACATCTGGAAGGTCTACAGCTCGACGGGCCACACGCCACATATAAGCCACCTGGATCACCTCCATTGCTGTTAGAGCACGCTCGGCGGTGGATGCTCTGGCGGGGATCCGCGCAGCGTGCAAGGTGTGGCGCAAGGTTGATGCAGGCAACATACTGAAAAGGATGATCGATGCAACTCCTCCAAGGGCTGCATCCAGCACAGTCCACATTGATGTGGCACAACCGCAGTAAAGGCGAATCGCTTCTATGGTGGTCAAAGATGCAAGCTCGTCTTGAGTGGGCAATCCGGCCATCTACGTTGCTTTCAGTGCAGCAAAGGCACTGGGCGTCACCAGCAAGCTAGCTTGAGATCCACTGACTGGTCTGGAATTGCGCTGCGCCCACACCAAGTGACTGAGACCCCACAAGCACAACCCAAAAGCCAGAACACCAGCAACAAAAGCTCTAGCATGGCATGGCAATTGAGTGAATCGGGTTTGCTTGAAACAGGGCATCTTGAGCCCCAAATGACAACCAACCCGAAATCAAACTAAACTCATGCCACCACAGCTGTTCCAGTCTACAATTTTCACTACGCAAATGGTTTGCTTCACAAAAGGATTAACCGGTGGGCCAAGAGCGTTTCGAAACAGTCAAGCAGGCACCAGGTTGTCAGACTTCAGGTGGGTCCCAACCTTTTGGCGGCACCGACACTGATTGCAGTGCGGTCGGGTTTTCGCACAAAATGACTTGGAATGCATCCGTTGTCGACATAGCAACCGGGTCCTTCTGACATGCACTGCGCTGGCAGTCCGCAAGAGTCCGAAAATCACAGAGTCCAAGATTCCCGAAGTAAGGCCGGTGTTTGCTCGAAGGTTTTCCGTGTACACCATCCGCAAGAGCATGAGCCTGCCATCATCCTGAACATCAGCATGCTCAACATCATCATCCATCATCATCCATCATCATCCATCATCATCCATCATCATCATCATCAGCAGCATCAGCAGCATCAGCATCAGCATCAGCATCATCATCAGCATCATCATCATCATCAGCATCATCATCATCATCATCATCCGTTTCTGCATCCTCAACAGCATAATCCGGCATCTTGCCATCCGTAACATCAGCGTCCGCAAGACCACGATCCGCACATCTTCCTATGCACACACAGGCATAGCAACCTCATCATCTTGCTTTCTGTTGAGCAGAGACAGGCACAGCTCTTTCATGATCAGTTACCGGTGGGGTGGGGAGAGTTAATAAGGTTCATGTTCCTATGCCTGCACACGCACCGCAAAATCATCATCTTTCTTGCTGTAGAGCACTTACACGCACTGCTCTTTCATGATCAGTTACCCGTGGGGTGGGGAGGGTGGGGTGGGGTGGGGTGCGGTGGGGTGGGATGAAAACGTTCATGTTCCCACGCACACACAGGCACAGCAACCTCATCATCTTACTTTCTGTTGAGCAGAGACAGGCACAGCTCTTTCATTATCAGTTTCCGGTTGGGTGGGGTGAGTTAATAAGGTTCATGTTCTTATGCCTGCACACGCGCAGCAACCTCATCATCCTTCTTGCTGTAGAGCACTTACACGCACTGTTCTTTCTTGATCAGTTACCCGTGGGGTGGGGTGACTTAATAAGGCTCATGTTCCTATGCATACACACGCATAGCAACCTCATCATCTTGCTGTCTGTTGAGCAGAGACAGGCACAGCTCTTTCATGATCAGTTTCCGGTTGGGTGGGGTGAGTTAATGAGGTTCATGTTCCTATGCCTGCACACGCGCAGCAACCTCATCATCCTTCTTGCTGTAGAGCACTTACACGCACTGTTCTGTCATGATCAGTTACCCTTCGGGTGGGGCAAGTTAATAAGGCTCATGTTCCTATGCATACACACGCATAGCAACCTCATCATCTTGCTTTCTGTTGAGCAGAGACAGGCACAGCTCTTTCACGATCAGTTACCGGTGGGGTGGGGAGAGTTAATAAGGTTCATGTTCCTATGCCTGCACACGCATAGCAACCTCATCATCTTGCTTTCTGTTGAGCAGAGACAGGCACAGCTCTTTCACGATCAGTTACCGGTGGGGTGGGGAGAGTTAATAAGGTTCATGTTCCTATGCCTGCACACGCGCCGCAAAATCATCATCTCTCTTGCTGTAGGGCACTTACACGCACTGCTCTTTTATGATCAGTTACCCGTGGGGTGGGAGGTGGGGTGGGGTGGGGTCGGTTGGGGTGATAACGTTCATGTTCCTATGCACACACAAGCACAGCAACCTCATCATCTTACTTTCTGTCGAGCAGAGACAGGCACAGCTCTTTCATGATCAGTTACCTGTGGGGTGGGGTGAGTTAATAAGGTTCATGTTCCTATGCCTGCACACGGACAGGAACCTCATCATCCTTCTTGCTGTACAGCACTTACACGCACTGCTCTTTCATGTTTTTTTTTCAAAACTGCCCCACCCAAAATTTCAAGATTTTTCCCCATCCCTACTCTTGACACCCTGAACACCACAAAAACTCTAAAAAATTAGTCTTGTAATAGTCTGGTTGTAGTCTGGTACATGGTGGTAGTAGTAGTAGCAGTAGCAGTGGTAGTAGTAGTAGTAGTAGTGGTGGTGGTGGTGGTGGTGGTTGTTGTAATAGAAGTAGTCTTAGTAGTAAGTAGTAGAAGTAATAGTAGAAGTAGAAGTAGAAGTAAAAAGAGAAGTAGTAGTAGAAGTAATAATAGTAGTAGTAGTAGTGGTGGTAGTAGTAGCAGAAGTAGAAGTAGAAGTAGAAGTAGTAGTCGTCGTCGTCATCGTCGTCGTCGTCATCGTCGTAGTAGTGGTGGTAGTAGTAGTAGTAGTAGTTGTAGTTGTTGTTGTTGTTGTTGTGGTTGTTGTTGTTGTTGTTGTGGTTGTTGTTGTTGGGTTTGTATTTTTTTTTGTTGTCGTTGTTGTTGTGGCGTCGTCGTCGTCGTTGCTGTTGCTGCTGTTGTTGTTGTTATTGTTGTTGTTGTTGATGAAGTTCCTGTTGGCGTTGATGTTGATGCGAATGTTGCTGATGTTGTTGTCGTTGTTAATGTTGTGTTGTCGATTTGGAGGCTGCTGTTGATTTTGTTCTTGTTGTTGATGTTATCATGTTGTCGATGTCAGTAAAGAGGCGTCGAGAGCGAGTCGATTTTCGGCGCTGAAAGCGAGTTGATTTTCGGCGTCGGAAACAAGCGATATCCCCCCTCCCCCGCGTCCCGGGCCCCTACGAGTCGGGGTTAACATGACGAATTTGGGATGACATGTCAGCGAAAGTTATATCATCCCTGCCAAAGGTGGCTCAGACTTTGCACGCGCGGGGACATAATCTTGATGGCCCTGACCAAACAAAACATCGTATATAATGGATTCAAAAGGGCATAAGTTCAATCAAAGCCAGCCCGCGATCCCACGGCACATGTGCGCCATGGGATGTAGTCATCCGTCTGGGACTGCCCATCAAAATATAACGCCTGTCCACAGCCAGCCAGAATCTCCCAAAGCACTTGGAACCTCCCAGAGAAGCAGATGGGAAACCCGCCTTTGAGCTCTTGGGTGATTTGAGCTCGAAACCGTGCAACGGTGGGTCCTCGAACAAGCAAGCAAAACACTTGGTTCTTTCTGTCAATGGCCCCCTGCCTCCAACCATGCCGCGTTCTTCTCGTCGCGGGCGGCACGCATAGCATTTGAAGACTACAAAGGAGGCAAGTCAGACATGACAAACACTGCCGATTGAAAGCGGCCGATCATCCTGGCAAGAGACCCCACACAACGTCACAATAATTTTAGCGCATCAATGAAAATATTCGACGCGACATACACCTCTACGCAAGATCTCCGCGAAGACATCTGCGTCGGTTCCTCGAACAAAACTTCTGTAACGAGGTGTTTACACAGAACCCTGCGCAAGACCGCTGCCAAAATAAAAATGCAGTAGGCCTTCCTGCAGCGAAGCCGTCGAACATTTTTTTTTTGTTTGTTGCATATGCCCAATATCATATGTTTGAAACGAAATGAAATGGAGAGCAGCTGTATCCCTGTCCTTTTCATGGTTCTACATACTTTGTCCATGTTCCTTTAATATCCTCGCAAAATTCCCAAAACCATTCCATGGTTTTACTGAACCGTCGTCAAAATCTTCAAAAAAAACAACGAAAAAACTACCCCCGTGATTGTTCCCTAGAAGGCTTTACGAAGCATTTTAAAAAGAAAAATTGCTATCAAATGGTCCGCAAACCATCATCCAAAAAGCAGGTGGCCACCCCAGGAAATGACTCCGTCATCTTTATGAATCCTTCAAACTGCCACCTGCGGAATACCAGGAAAGTAACACCTTTATAAAATACCTCTTCCGTGCAAGCCAAAATTCCGAGAGCATTTGTTATACGACATTATACGACCAAAGCAAGCGCTATATAAAATGAGTCTCGGAACACCGTTTGTATAGACGTAAAACATACGTTCTGTATAGAAGAACAAGCAATCAAATCAATGGGGTTGAAAAAACGATATTTGTTTCTGTGGCTGCGATTTGTTTAAAAAAAAAAATAACAAAAAACGTGGTTGCGCGGAGGAGGTTTGATTTCAACACATCTACATTTCAAAGGAGAAAAATCCAGCGTTTGATATTCGTTTGGTCCCAGGTGTCTAAACATTGCCGTTTTAAGTTCTGCGCGAGCCTGCGCGATCAAAATGCACTTGGACATGTTACAAGAGCAATTTTATGCGAGAATGTATGGGAAAAAAACAAGGAACAAATGGAGCACACTGATCAATCACCGGCCTTTACTCATACCGTAAGAACCCGTCTGTGTGGACACACTGTTTGGGGAAAAGTTTTATTATAGATAAATATTCAACAACCCTCAGAGTTTGCTCGCAAAATGTTCATAAACTTAGGTTTTTCCTCCCTCCCCGTCTCCCTCCGTCCGTCTTTCCTTCCTTCCTTCCCTTCCTCCCTCCCTCCCTTCCTCCCTCCCTCCCTCCTTCTTCCTTCGTTTGTTCCTAAACCCAAAAAACGGGGAACAAAAACAAAAGATTTCTTTTGTTTGTTCACCTTTTCCTGTCTGTTTGCCGAAGTGTTTCTATTTACCTATGGTGCACACTTTTCACATTATCCGACGCCATGAAAAGGTCCTCCTACTGGCACAGGCTTAGATTCAGGCATGTTTCTGCAAGCAAATTTTGTTTGCTGAAAACGTTCCCACATGTTGTGCCGGTGCTGCGGCAAAAGACTTGCCACAAGGATGCTTCCGAGGATTCCTTTACAAACACTCAAAAAGGTCGCTTCAAAGACTGGTCTGCACAAATGAACAAATGTGTGTTGGGACATTTTGCAAGCGAGCCTACACGTGTTTGCAAGTGTGTCACCAGTGTTTGCTCCAGGACCTTAAATTTCCTTAAATTTTACAAGTACGACCTCTCCTAGGATTCCAGCACCTCGCAGTCACTCTAGCGCTTCAGTTTGTGGTCGAATGATCTTAGGCAACAATAATCATGAAAGCGTCTTAAAAGAAATCCACAGTGGAAGATGTCATCTCCACCCCTTCAAGGTTCAATAACACAGAGAAGGCACGCAAGCCCTCTGTATTAAGCCACAGCAGGGGGAGATGGCCGAAAGCTCCCGCACGGTTTTTGATGGTGTTTGCACATTCTTTGGGCATGCACAGCGAAAATTGAGATCCACTTGTGTGTCAGCGGCCTTCATTAGGTCGTTCGCGGATACTAGATGTTAGATGTTGTTGTAAGCATCAATCGTTTACCCCGTCGATGGGTAGTGAGTTGTGGTTAACGCTCCTCGCTCGCTGTTTGACTGAAGGCGCACACTGGTCATTTTGTAGTTGGTATAATTGTAAACACAATAATAGATTCTGCGGAAAATCCTAGTAACATCTAGTAACCATTAATTATTGTGCCAAGGAAAAAGAATAGGTGTGCAAACAGTCAAGTCCGCCCATGCATTACAGCTTGTTGTATTTTGTTGGCAAGAAATGACGTTGCGAAACGGGACTTGGTAGCGAGAAGCTTCCCATTTGTGGGACGCGCCATGGATTTTTTGCTGGATGTTTTCACCGACGGACCTATTCCTATTGTATCCTACAAGGTGGTACCCCCCAGTTATAAGTTGGTTTAGATTCGCCCCATTAACTATAGTTCTAAGTACCAGAAACCATAGTTATTGGAGTTATAAACCAACTTAGCTATCTTGGGGGCCTCACATTGTATTGTACCTAATTGCAAGGCCTCTCCAACATCTGGGCTGTGACGCAGTTCACCGAAATTTGCGGTAGTTGATGCCACTGCTTGGATGGAAAAAACGACGGCCACCGACAACTTCGCATCAACGTGTTGGATGACGTGCCTTTCCCAATTGCCTTCTGACCCCGGCGCGGACAAGAGTGATGAGGCGCAAGGCTACATACTGAAACAGGAATTTACGTCGGTGATTCCAGTGAAAAGAAAGGGATGGTCTTTACCAAAGAGTCCGACCATGTTTGAAAATATACACTTTCCGCTTCACACGCAGACCATCTGCTGGACGTCGATCCAGCTTGATGTCGCCCATTCGTCATTCAGGATGGTTTCAGGATACCGCTGGAATTCTTTCCGTTGTGTACCCTCTGGTAAACTAACATAACTATGGAACATCACAATTGTTCATGGGAAAACATCACTATAAATGGTGATGTTCCATAGTTATGTTAAATTACCAGAGGGTATCTCTGGGCAGAAACGTTACTTTCAAAAACGCCCTCACGTGGATGACCTGTTGCGAGTTGGTCGAGTTGGTCGAGTTGGCAGGGCTGGGTTCAACTATGACGCGGCAAACGAAACGTGGATCGACGTGGGAGACGTTCCTCGCACATTTCATGGCGATTGTTGTGACGCCATAGCCATAGCCATACTGTCGCCGCAGATCTGGATCATCCAGAAGAATTAACAACCGAATCGCTGGCATATTTGGAGCGAGGTGTTTCTTTTTTCATACTTGGATCATCTTGGATCATCCCGGCATATCGCGCTGAAAAAATCGCTGGTCCTGTTATTGGCCAACCGTTTGTGGCCTGAGGTGGGAGGTCACTGGACAGAAGCGTTCCAAGGATTCGCACGGTTTGATACACGGCCAACTCAGAAAAAAGCCGACCTTGCGTACCCATCCAAATTATGAATCATCCATACACAACTAGAGTTTCTTCAACTTCCATTGTGTTTTTTCACCTGAAAATAGACCGTCTAGCCTTGAAAGGGAGCCATCCACCCACTTTTTTCCCACTCATCCAGCGGCATGGGATTGGTTCCACTGTGCTGCTTCGATCCCAGGTGCTCCTGCGGTAGAACCAAATGGGTTTGTCTGAAAATAGTGTACCCCTACACCCAATGGTTTTGCTGATCATTATCCCTACTAAATGGCTATAATTGGGGGTATAACGGTATACCCCATTTTCAGACATACCCAAATGAAATCCAACCCACAACTATGGGGATGTTACCATCCATTTCAACCCAAATTAACGGGCGATTTCACATATTTCACCAACAAATCTATGACATTCGAATACTTTCGATGGACTGATGGAGTGGGGTTTCCCGTTGTGTTTTTACCCCTTTTTAGCATCCTAAAGTCCAAATCGGATGTCCTGCCGATTTGCCCGTAAAGCAATTGTGGGCAAATCGGCTGGTGATGGTTTCAACTATCTCGTCCTGATTGACCAATCAAGAATGTAACATGATGATAAATACTTCAAAATAATCACCACTAAAACATACTAAAGCAACCTTTCTGGATGAATATCATTTACAATTGTCAGTTCAGCAGTTCAAGGAACACCAGACTGCAACCCTACCGAGTTGCCGTCCTCGGCAAGGTAGGGACTACCTTCGGCCAACCACGGTTTGAAGATGTTTAAAGGAATGGGCATAAATGGATGTGTTTAACTGGAATTGAAGGGATATACGGTCATCATTTCATCAATATACCCTCTGGTTATTTAACATAGCCATGGACAATGGCCCATTTATAGATGGTTTACCTATTAAAAATGGTGATTTTCCATAGCTATGTTAGTCATAACCAGATGGTAAATGGAATGTTCATTGGATGTTCATTGGATGTAAATGGAAGATCGGAAGCGAAGAATGCGTGGTGCAAAAGGCCAGCATTGGTCCCCCCCATTCCCGGCCTTGTATATCTGTGGCCTGGAGTTCCGATGCCACGATGGGCTGATGCCATTCCGGCTGAGAAAATGCACTAAGAAACAAGGGAGAAATGGGGAGAATTGTAGATGACACTATAATTAATCAATTAATCCTGATCAGAATTATTCATCAGAAACAATTTTCCTGATATGGGGATGGGTCAAAACCTATTAGTATCAATTTTAATGGGATGAACATCCATTTTAACCCAGCTGTTTTGTGGTTCACTAGGTACCAGGGTTATGACTCATAGCCATATTGTCGATGATTTGCCGGCCTGAAATGCCTAGGAAATAGGAAACTTGAGTTGCCATGGTTACCGCAAAGTACCTGTGGTGCGACTGTACAGCCTCACCTGTGTGTGCCCTTGGAGCGTCAAAAATAATTAGTCTCTCCATCCCAAAATCCCAAACAAAAAGATTGATGTTTTCCTCTACACTGTTAATTCACATGGAAAATCAGCATTTACGGATGATTAATCTACAAAAAATCCATTAATCCTCGTGTTGCACCACCTGATTTAGGTTAATCCATGGCCTTTCTGTTTGGGTGTTTATCAGCCCATCCTCCAGGCCTCCAAGAGGTCGCAGAAGCTCTTGGCCAGGTTCCTGCCAGAAATCCATTCAATGGATTGGTTTTTTGGGGGAAAATCTAGACCGGAAACCATTGATTTTCCCATGAAGATCATGGGGCTTAAACCTGTAGATTTTCCCTCAAACCAATCCATTGATCCATGGTCTTTTCGGTCCATGTTTCTACCAGATGTTCCACATGGCACCAAGGCTCTGACTTGGAAGGATGAGCCACTCCAGGCTGTGCTAAGTTGGCCTTATCACGGCTTGCTGTGTATCCCAATGGATGATGATCAAGTCAGTTGCACACATCTGTGATTTACTTATCGACATATGTTGATACATACGTGAGTTACTGTGAATTCCATTCCATTCCACTTCCATTCACTTCCATTACATACTTCCATTACATTACATTATATATATATACGTATATATATATACATATAGAGAGAGAGAGAGTTGGATATATTTGGTATTACGTTATTATGCAATACATGGCCTTCCTGTCTCTTATGATAATTATGTACAAGACATGCATCTCCTTTTTTTCCATCCGCGCCATGGCTCCCCCGCGAAGATCAAATGTCTCAACGCCTCGGTCAGGTCGCTTCGCAGCACTTCGCAGCGGCACCACCAGCGCACTGAGCTCAACCTGGCGACACCCGACATGGCGACATGACAACATGCACCTCTCGTTATGGTAGGGATTTCACCAACAACAGGTATTTAACCAATAAAAACGAAGGATTTCATCAACAAAAATGAGTATTGAACATGATTTAAACAACAAATATAGGGGATTTCACCAACATGTGGATGGATAGTTGAAAATGATAGGTAAGTTGGTAATAGTTGACTTGTAACCACGCTGGCGGTTGATACCATGTACATGGATGAGTTGTCAAATACGTTAATCTGTGGCCATACAGTGGGCCTTGTCTATACACAGACATGTAATTTATAAATCTCATTGAATATATATTATATACTAATCAGCTAGGACAGCTAGGATTTCAAAAATTACACCGGAATTTATTACCCCAGACAGCCAGCGGTGTCAGTGACATGCCATCCGCTTCTGCTACCATGGTGATTTGACCATTTTTCAGATGTTGCGATCGGCCAATGAGGTTGTTCTAATTCACCCTTTATGAACATGATTCAAGCAACAAAAACAGAGGACATTATATAACTAATATTAATAGTAGGGGATAGCCCCTATTATTATTGGATTAGAGTATGATTTAGTTCACAACCATGGGCGAGCTCAAAACCATCAAAAAAAAGGTGGTTGAACGGTGTATCCAATAGATATGACATTCAACGAATTGATTTCATGAATTCTTGCAACAGGGAACGATTGCTAGTGTCCCTTTAAAAATCAATGCTTAACTGGTAAATCAAGAGGAGATATGCAAATGTATGTAGCATTGTAAATGTAAGATGAATGCATGAATTCCAACATTCAAAATAACATAACTGGTTGGTGGTTGACCTACCCCTATGAAAAATATGAAAGTCAATGGGAAGGATGACATCCCATATATGAAATGGAAAATAAAAAATGCTTGAAACCACCAACCAGATAAACAAATCACCAGCTCCAAGCACTAAGCTTTGCATCTGATCACCAGGCGCACCAGGCAAGTACCGCCACTCCGCTGAGGCGGTACGTATCTGAGGCATGATCCCCAACGAAAAAGCTGGAGATGTGTTCAATTCCTGTGTGCAAAAATCCTGTTGAGTTATATGTATATATATATATAGTTATATATATATATATGAAGCTTTCCTACGTCCTGGCAGTAGACCATACTTTCATCCAGGGGTGAAAGGATACCCCATGGCTTAGGAAAGCCCCATTTTTGGAAAGCGATGACCTCAAAACCAGGGACCCCTACTGGCCAGTAGCTGACTAGCCGCCTCGGCGGCTTCTGCCTGGCTCAACGGGAAGGATTCATTGGGGTATGTCATCCAAAATAGCCGCCTATTTTGAGGGAAAATGAAACGAACTTGGGGGTACTCCTATTTTTCAGACAAAGCCATATGTAATGGGGCTAAACATCCCAACTTGAAGTTGGAAACAAAGCCAAAAAAAAGGACCTATATAACCATGGTTTTTCAACTCTTCAACATCATTTAACCCACATACGACCGAATGCACATCCAGATACCTTGGCTGAGAAACTGGAAGAAAGAAACTTCACACCCACCACATGCATTTTGCAAAAAGAACAACCCAGGTTGAAAAAATATGTCTATGTCAGTTTCTTGGAATGTATCCCCAATGTTTGCTTGTGTTTTTCCAAAAATTAGGTGGTCAAAGCCCTTTGGTGAAACAGTTCTTGTGGTGGCTGTACCATTGTATCTTGGTGAGTGATATGGATGCCGTGTCGGGTGATATGGATCCTGTGTTTGATAGGGTGCTGTCCTGCGGTCCTTTGAATCTCCACTACCTGTCTCATGGGCAACCACCCTACAAGGATCATAGGATGTGTGCGTCCACTAGTCACTAGTCCTATGTCATGTGTATGCCACTGCGTTCCTGATTTAGAGGGAATGCTTCCACATTCTGCCCAAGGTTGAAAACCGATTGTTTTGGCATGGTTTCAGAACAGGTGCAAGCCTGATGGCATAGGACTTGTGGTAGCCTCTTTTTTCACTGTTTTGGATGACATAAGAAGCTGTTTTCAATGTATGGTATGTTTTAGATCTTCTGTTTGGAGCTGCCCTGGGGCCTTTTGGCCCTACATCATGTCAGAGCTAAACGGCTACGCGCCAGTCCTGTGTCACAAATCTTCCAACCTCGCAGGTTCCAGGTTGTTTTGAGGTTTTCCCACCAGTCCTATCTCATAGTATCTTGCCGGTTTTTGAATGTTTCAGCAAACCGAGATATGACATGGGATTTGTGGCCTTTTTAGTCTCCACTACTCCTATCTCATGAGCTACCTTCCCTCACAAGCCCCACAAGTCCTAATTCCTTTTGCTGTTTGTTTCGACCAAACCTGGGGTGCAAGGTTGTATCATGACGGCATCATGACATAGGATTTAATAGAATTTGTGCGTCCGCTACTCCTATGTCATGGCCTGTGTCCCACCGCGCCTGCTTTGGAAGGAATGTTTTAAACTTTAAACGTTCTTCCAGAGGCCTAAAAACTACCGTTTTGGCTTGGTTTTTGAGCGGATGAGAGCCTGACGACATAGCACTGGTGGTAGGTAGCCTTTGTTTCCATCGTTCTTGACATGGGAGTCTGTTTTTTTCATTTTTTTTTCAGGGTACCTCCTAAGGCAACTCCTAAGTCATTTGTATATCCACAGCTGCTCAAAGCTCAGGTGAGATACGCAGTCGAGCCTCGAGGAATTCTTCGGAGCAGGTTCTCGTCCACTGCACAAAGCTTTGGATGCTCTTGGACTGGGCGGTCAACGGCAACAGAGTTTGGGGTCCGAAAACTTTGGGTTCCTCCTAGCGATCTGAAGGAAGAGGTTGGATGGGTGTCTCCAAGTTCGGACATGCACCAAGAGTAGAAAGTCTTGCAATGGGTGCAAACCACGAAATATGTCCAAGTGGAGCACAATAACGAAGGCATGCCAACTTCGGACACTGCCCAGCAGAGCATCCCAAAATTGCAGACTTCATTACTTCATGCCTTGAATTCAGCTCTTCGATTGTTGGTTAAGAATATTTGCGGACCATTTGGAGGTGTCCTAAAATGGTACTCCAAGTCATTAGATCAGTTTTGTATTGAACCAACTATGGTGACTTGGGGATCCAGTTTAAGAAACCCCCCAAAAAAAATGCTGGAAATGGATGTTATCCAACATGCCTTGGATGCCTTGGCATAGGCAGCGTCACGGGTTGCCACGAAGAGCGCGGAGGACCACGGCAGGGTGGTCTGGGCATCTATGATCGTCCCCCCGAGATCCGAAATCCCATCGATGCTCAACGAGGCTTCAGAAGGCCTGGGGATTGTAAAAGATATGGTTTTATTATGGTTTATATGGTGAAAAACAGGTTTTTTTGTTGGTCCATTTTTTGCAGGAACATCTTGAAAACCAAAAGTCAGAGGGAAATTTGATCCCCCGAAAAAAAAATGAAACAAACTGAGCCAAAAAAGAGACCTTGGAAATCAGCCGATGGTGCCATCTACCCTCTGGTAAACGTTTACATAACTATGGAAAATCACCATG